TATCAGATGCCAAACATTCACAAACTCATCAATTCAGTGGCTCAAATCATCACTAAGGATGTATCTGGCAAGGTTTGGTTCACGTAATTTGATTTGAAGTACGCTTTCAGTCAGTTGCCATTATCGTCTTTTACCAGTAGTCATTGTAACTTCAATATTTTGTGTGGGGACGCTACCGGAACGTATAGATTCAAGACTGGGTTTTACGGCTTAACAGATATGCCGACCGAGTTCCAGAAGGCAATGGACTGTACTTTACAAGGATTAGAGGGGGTTATTTGATATTTAGACGATATCTTAGTAGTTACGAAGGGAGATATTTAAGAACATAACGAATTGGTAGAAAAGGTGATGCAGAGACTCGATGCGGAAGGCTGGGAATTGAAGCTTAGTAAGTGTGAACTTTCTGTTAACCAGTTAACTTGGTTAGGTTATGATATTAATGAGGGCGGTTATTCTCCAAAATTTTCAAAAATAGATGCGATCCAATGACTCAAGCCCCAAAATCTTTGAAACAACTCCGCTCATTTATGGGTACGTTGAATCACCTACAACGGTTTATACCTGATTTGCATACTCATACAGTTCATTTTTGTTAATCTTTAAAGGCATGTAACAAGCAGTCGTTTCTGCGGGGAGAGAAACAATATAGCGCCTTCAAAGGATAATCATTTTGGTGGCCAAAATTCCTAGTTTATTTCATTATGATTCTTCAAAAAAATCTTGGGTAAAATGTGACGCTAGCCATAACGGAGCTTGTCTCGAGCAGGAAATCGAACCGAGAGTTTGGGCGCTAACTTCGTTTGCTTCGCGTTTTCTTAATAATGCAGAGGCGAAGTGTAGTGCAAACGAAATGGAATTGTTGGCGATCATTTGGGCTTGTGAACACTTCTGTACGTATTTGTTGGGTAATCGTTTTCAAGTGTTGACGGATCATAAAGCCATTATTTCGGCATTGAATGAAAATTATATTAATAAGTCATACCAATCCCGTCTTTCTCGTTGGGCGGATCGTTTATTTCCTTTTGATTTCGAGGTTATTCAAGTCCCTTGGGTTACTCTGGGTATTGTGGATTATTTTTCTCGCTACCCTACGTTTTCTAATCCTGCTCCCTCTAACTACGATGAACTTTTTGTCGTTTAGTCCATTGAGGCTTTTGATTCGGCCTTAACATTCATAAATTCATTTAGCTTGTATAATTCGAGTGATGGGTTTTGTCCTTCGTGGCAAGAGGGCGTTGATCTTCGAACACGGAAATTTTCCTTGCCTTCATTTAAGACTTCTTCGGCAGGGGGCGACTTAGAATTACATCGATCTGTCAACCAATCAAATCACGTTATGCAAATACGTGTTTCAAGTTTCTCACCAATAGAGGGCGTCTAGTTATGCTCTGAGAGTGTTAACCAATCAAAAATGGGTATGCAAATTAGAAATTGTAGACCGGTTTCTCTCACTATCGATCATTGTCTCCGACCTCAAACTATTCAAAACAGTCAAACCTCTTTTCTCTCAACATCTCATTTTTTCCAATCTCACCATCAAGGTATGAATTTACCTGACCCGATTCTGCCACCAGATACTAACCAACGATCTAAATTCGACTTTAGTTCATCCCATTGACTCACAGACGATACTCAACTCGACGGCGGAATAAACTGACCTCCTCACATTCGTGGAAAATTTTCCTCTGACCTCACCGAATTTCAGATGACCAAGCCCGCGTCCCCCAATGAGATCTCGACAGTTAGGTCAAATCTCTCAATCGAACACAATCGAACCCGTGAGCGAGCAGCCAAATTTCGTTTTGTTGCCGCGAGGACCACTTCCAGAAAGGAGGGACATAATCAACTGTTGGAGGTTCTAAAAAAGTGCCGTTTATCTAGGCCTGGAAAGGTCCACACAGCCGCTAAGATTGGAGTCTTTGCAGTGAATGGCGGTAAGCCGATCCTCTCGAAATCCAAGAAGACATCGTGGGACTGCCAGGCCTGTTTGATGCTGATCTCTTGGCCGAACTTACGGAGGAGGATCGTTTTCTGGATCCTATGAAGTGTCAACAAGGAAGTCACTACCTTCAATAAACTCGGGGATTATATGGCTCAATTCTGGCCCAAGACAGCGGTAGTCAATAACTGCGTGGTCCTTGACAACAAGTTGGCAATTCCCGAAGCTTTGAGACAAGCTGTCCTTGCTCTCCTTCATCGCTCTCACCCAGGACAAGAGGCCATAATGTCAGCCTCCGAATACACTTGGTGGCCGTTACTAAACCGACAGATTGTCGATACCTGTGAGAAGTGCCGTGAATGCACGTTGAATGGTAAGAATCTTAAGCCTGCTCAGGATTTTCATACCGCACAAACATTACATAATTTGTCTGGGCCAAATCAGGAGTTGCAATTAGATTTCGCCGGTCCTATATTAGATACTAAGGGTTCGAAGATATTCCTCTTGATAGCTATAGATTGTTTCTTTAAATTTCTTTCTGTTCTCATTACCAAAACTACTGGGGCTAAGAAGGTTAGAAAATTCCTCGATACTTACAGACGTATCCATGGTATACCTCAATCTATCAGGACTGATCATAGCTCTGGGTTTAAGAATGATTTAGTACAACAATTACGTTCCAGTAGGGGTATTAGACATTTTCTTTCACCTGTTGGAGATCATAGAGGCTCTGGTTTAGTTGAACGTTCGATACAGACTATAAAGCGAAAACTGGACACTGCTAAACTTGATCCTAATTTTGGTAATTTTAAGGAGACGATTCAGCAGATAATCAAACACATTCGCAAAAGTAATCATTCGGTACTTAGAAAATCGCCTTTCGAGTTACATTTTGGGCGTAAGCGAAAGACTGAATAGTCCCAAGCTTATCATAATGTTGTTCATTCTGATACTTCAGCCCAAAGACTCGAACGAAACCTTCTTACGCCGGATCAGATTGCTAGCCAGGACTACATCAGGGATCGCGCTAAGGTGATGCCTAGAGGAAAAACTAGCCCTCCGATTGCTCCACAATTCAAGCCGATGTTTTCTCTGGAGGTTAATGTGGCTGAGAGTGAGCCTTACAAGGCTCTAGCTGAACTCGCTCGGGCGGCCAATAAGTGGACACAGTTTAAGCGGAACCTCCCACCGGATGGGGTAAAGCGAGTCCTCAAAGAGTTGACGAGTCGTCATTCGGATCTTGCTCATTCTCTAAAGACGGGTCTTTCACGTAACACACTTCGTTTCTCGGAGGGTAGGTCTGGTTCTACACCCCCAGGGGCTCAAGCTAGTTCCCGTCGATTACCAAGTCTACAACCCTGTCGCTCGACTAAAACAAGTAAATTGGAAAACCTTCTCTTATCTGATCCTAGTCGAGTTAGAGTCTTTAGGAAAATTATAGATCGTCAGTCTGGCAAGCCTCTTTATAAGACTGTTATATTCAAGATTACTCAGATTACCGATCACACTTATGTTACTGACAAAAGGAAAATTTATCGTAAAAACCATGCTTGCCTTCAGCCTAACTTTCGTTATAACATTTCAGCGGGCCAAAACACACTAGGTGATCGTCTTCAAACGCCAGGATCGACTTCCTGCAGTGTGGGCAAAAGGCCAGCTACTCGCTCTCAACCAACGCTGAGTTTCTGTCGCCAGATGGTGTTTCTCCGCAGGGTTTCGCTCCACCCTCACATGACGCGTTTTCCGAACCACACACTTCGTACTCTTCGCTATCTCTCCCCGCTCAGCCAGTAGTGGACGACTCGGAGGTTGTAACGACCTCATCACGTAGCAAGAAATCAACGAAATTCTTTGGCGGCCCTTTACGTCACTCTGTTATATTAGTGGAAGAAGAGAAACTAGTTGAGGAGGAGGTTTAAGATTTACCCTCAGGAAGCGCCTTACCGTTCTCGTATTCGCCAAGAAAACCGCTCATTCGTGATCGACCTCAATTGACCTTTTTGGAGGCGTCCTCTTCCTCATTTGTCAACAAAACTCAAGATGGCGATTGACTATTATCTACATATCAAACTATACAAAACTCTATCAAACTTTCTATGCTCTTTATTCTTTGCCACCTTGCATTTGTGAGGGCTAGGGGTGCTATCTATCTAATGCTCATTTGGGTGCAGTTTATTTGTTATTGCAAAAATTTTGTACTGATTTTCTAAAATTTTTCTCTCTCGCGGGGAATGTCATGAGGCGACCTTCGGTACCTCGCTTATAACTTGTCTTTTGCAGCTATGCTGCACATTTATTACCAGTGCTACTCAAGGTCACTGATATGGCCTATACTGAGTGCCACAGCTTGAATAGCCTCCTTAAAAAAACATGAAGTTTTTGCTTAACGCGGAGAGAGGTCAGATTTGTTAAAGTAGGCTATTCAAACTTTAAACCTTGAAATAGTTCGAGGGGCAAAAAATGAAAATAAAAGAATGAAAAAATTGAAAGAACCAGTGAAAAAAGTCAGTTGGACGGCTGTGCATACAGAAGTTTTTGACAAAAAAAATCATAAAAATCCGGTAGAGAGAAATTCGGAAATTCACCAGGTCTTAAAATAATACCAGGCGGAAATTCACTAGGGATAAAAAAATAATAGGCCAAAAAAAGCATTTTGGGAACTTTTGGGACGAGTTTGACCAGTAGCGGATTTAGGGGGGCCGGGGGGGGGGGGCGGGGGCGGACGCCTCCCTCCTCATGGATTCGACCCCCTGCCGACACAAAGGGTCCCCCTTTGTACTATTTTGAGATATCCATTTTTGGCTGACTGACATTAAATTTTTTCTAAAGACGCCTTTGGCGCAAATCTATACTAATTTTGAGGGGGAGCGCGCACCAAAAAACGCAATTTTTTAATAAAGTTTTCCAAAAAGTGCCCAAAAACGTTTTTTTTACCTGTTTTTTCAAAAATCCGGCCACAACAGCGTTACGAGGGTTCTTAGTGTTCTTAAGAAACCCTAAGAAAAGAATGTCCCCACCCCCAAATGCGCCCCTGTCAGAGGATATAAACATCACGTACCTGGACTTCTTTTCCAAAATTTCCAAGCTCCAATGCAGCATTGATAAGCAAGAATAATGACCACTAATAACAAAACCTTAATGCTCATAACAAAATTCAAACTCTATTTCAAACAGTTGAAGAGAGCAAATGCGATTACTGATGGGTTGATGAGCGAAGTTTAGCTAGTCGTTGGAACTTTTTGGATTTTGCAATGCGCTAGAAATTGCAAAAAATTGGAATTTATTTTTTAAACAAATTTATTGGACATTTTTGAGTTAGTTCTGACCTTGAGACGGTGAAATGGCGTTGAAAATGTCAGCAAATTTCTGAAATTGCAATTGATCTGCCAAAAGAGCAATGCAAAACCATCCTTTTTTTAAAATAACTTCAAGCCCACAACTTCGGAACAATTTTCATTCACCAACGATCTGCCATGAGCTTTTCGAGGCAAAGAATGAAAAGCCGACAAAAAAGCGAATACAAAATTTCAGAGGTTTATATGGTCTGAATTAGAAAAAAACAATTAGACAATTTCCGATAAATTTGCTTAAAACTATAACTTCGAACCAAAAATTGGGAGATAAACTCAGAGCAAATTATTAAAACAGTGCTGATTTAAATTGAACGGAAAAAATGAGCTTAACTTGAAATTTCAAACACGTTTTTCTCAATTTGTTTTGCGAAATTCGGGCCCACAATTATATCAATGATTGACTCGGTATTTTTGGCGTATTTTTTAATTAACTAAGAAAAGCCAAAATGACCCGGTTTTGGGGTAAAGTTTTCGGCCTGAATTTCGCAAAACAAATTACACCATATTATTTCTGCTTAAGTTTTAAGCAAGTTTTGTCTTCATAAGTTTTCACCTAAACTCGACCCAATTTGAGAAGAACTCGTTTTAAATTTTAAGTTTAATGCGTTTTGTCCGGTTAATTTAAATCGGCACTGTAGTTCTTAGCAAATTAAATAGACGTCTTAAATTTTTGAAACATAGTTTGAGAGTTGGAAAGAGTTCAAACAGACAAAAACAATAAAAAATGCAACCTCCCAATTTTGTGCAATTTTTGCATGTAAATTTGAGTTTTTAAGTGACATTGAGACATACTTTTTGTCTCAAATATTAGAGTTTGAATGTAAAAATTGTCTGAAAAAGGTCATTTGCTCTTTTTAATTGTTTTTGTCGGTCCGAAATTTTTGCTACTACTTATATATTGAGAGAGTTGAAAAAGTTCGGACAGAATTAATCAAAAAGAGCAACTGATTAGACATCAACGTAAATTAAAACTGAAATAAATATAGCGTCGAAAGTTCATACAGCAGAAATTCGCTCAAAACTATAACCACGGCGGGCAATTGCACCGAATAGTCGAATAGTAAATCTTGAAACAGGAAAATTATTGCTCAGCGTGGCTTATGTTTTGCTGCGATTAGTTTCCGAGTTTTAAATGATTTGATCATCTTCACATCCGTATGTTGTTTTGGGGCGACCTAATAATTTTGTTAAAAAATGACTTCAGATTTCGATTTTTGAACTAATTTTGCTAATTAGTTTATAGTAAAACCTGGATGTTCCTTGCTTAAGTATTGGAGTATTTAAAAACTAGGCTAGCTTAATCATCGGATAATCGACGATCTCGCATTTTGAATTTAATCTGACAAAAAATTCAAGGTTGTTAGGCTTCAGATTTCTCATGCAAAAAAGCGTCGAAACGCACTGATTGCTCATTTTAATTAATTCTGTCTGTCCGAACTTTTTGCTACTAATTATAGCATGATCATCGGATAATCGATGATCTTGCATTTTGAATTTGGTCTGACAAAAAATTCAAGGCTGTTCGGCTTCAGATTTCTCATGCAAAAAAGCGTCGAAACGCACTGATTGCTCATTTTAATTGAATGCGTCTGTCCGAACTTTTTGTTACTGATTATAATAAGTAGCAAAAAGTTCGGACAGACAGAATTAATTAAAAAGAGCAATTGACGTATTTTGGAAAGTAAAAGTTTTGCATGCAAAACTTAAATTTTCATACCGAACAAGTGTCTCAAGGTTGTCGTAAAAATCCGAAAAGCCTGTAAAAGTTTTTCAAAATGGAACGATTGCTCGTTTTTATTAGTTCTCTCTGTCTGAAATTTTTGCAACTCTCTAAAGTTTTTAACAAATTTATCAGACAACATCTTAAGCTTTTGAAATAGTTCTGACCTAGAGGCAGTTAAATAGAGTTGAAATTACAACTGTATTCTCAAAATTGCGTTTGAACTGCCAAAAATATAACTAATGCGTTTTTGCAGAGATCAGATGTTTGAATATAACTTCAAGCCCTTAATTTCAAAACAATTTCAGCAAAGATCTGACAAGCTATTTTTCAATATAAAGGAAAACATAAAACGGACCACATGAAACGCCAAAAACAAGCAAACGCGAATAGAAATTATTTCTTTTAGGTTTTAGCTTCAAGGTCAGAATTATTTCAAAAATTTAAAACTTTGCCTGGTAAATTTGTTGCAAAGTATAGTTTAATCAAACTCTCGGAAACCGTTTTCATGTGTGAAAATCAGTAATATAATTAGTAGGAAAAAATTCAGTTAGAAAAAATAATTAAAAGTGCAATTTACCTATTTTGGGTACAATTTGGACGCAAAACTTGACTTATAAGACCAATTTTGTGGCGCCAGGTTGTCAGAAAATGGTAATTGCATACAAAAATCTGTGAAAATTGGATAATTGCTCTTTCTGATTGTTTCTGTTTGTCCAAATTTTTTGCTACTTTCCACAAGATGAAATTCGACGTCGAAATGAGCAGTTTTAGGTTAATTAACTTCGATCCAATCTGTTGACCGAAAAGATTTTCCCAACAATTTGGCATTAACTATAATTGTGACCTTCAAGTTTTTTGCTAATAATTATATTACTGATTTTCACACGCAAGAACGGTTTCCGAAAGTTTAATTAAGCTATAGTTTTTACCAAGTTTACCGGACAACGTCTTAAATTTTTGAATTAACGTATGCATTTTTATCCGTGTTTTGAGTTGGTCCGTCGTAAAAAAACCGCTAGAAATTCAAAAATAATTTTGCTCTGATGTTAAATAAGCCAACAAAAAAATTATTCCGGCGAAAATTCGGAAAAAATTGTTCCTCTAATCAGGATGTATATTTGGAGCTTTCATGTCTTTGAAATTTGTCCGGCCTCCTGGTGAAAGCTCTCAAGGCCTCTAAATATTTGTTTTTTTTTCGAAAAAATTAAGACTGTTGTTTGTTGCTTGACCAAAGAAGTTTTTCATTTTTGTCAGTCGTTTTTGCGTCATCTAGAAACTAAGGCTAGCCCAACAGCTTCCCAAAACACCATGTTTTGTTGTTTGGAGCAGGCGCCGATCTAGAAATTTCTCAAGGGGGGGGGGGGGGCGGATTTTCAAAAAACTTTGAAAATTTTGTCGACCTTTTTTTCAGGTCGAGCAAATTGAATTTCTGAGCTCTCCCAAACCACTAAAAAGACCCTAATTTGACCAAATTTTAAGGCACTTTTTGGAAAATTTAGACCAAAAAATCGCGTTTCTTCGGTGCGCGCTCCCCCCTCAAAATCAGTATGGATTGGCACCGAATGCGCCTTTAGAAAAATTTTATGTCAGTCAGCCAAAAATTAATATCTCAAAATAGTACAAAGGGGGCCCAAAAAAATTGATTCAAAATTCGCAAAAATTTAATTCCAAAAAAATTGCTTCTCAAAAGTCGTAATTGTACAAAAAAAATTCCAAAATTGAACAATGCCGCTGATAAAAAGCTTTCTAAAAGCAGAACTGGTCTTGCCTTCAAAAATATGGACCCGTTTCAGCTACTTTGAAATTTTTTTTCAATTTTCAAAGTTTTCTATTTTTCCAATAGATCAAAAAATTTCAAAAATTGTTTTGGAAACAAATGGATTGTAGTAGTCTTCAAGTTTTTTCCCTATAAAAATGTACCGAATGCGCCTTCGAAAAAAGTTTAATGTCAGTCAGCCAAAATAGATGTCTCAAAATAGTACAAAGGGGGGCCCTTTCGGTCGGCAGAGGGTCGAATCCCTGAGGGAAGAGAGGAGAGGGCGACCGCCCCCTCCCCACCCCCTAAATCCGCTACTGGTTTGGAGGATATTTTCATAACAAGAATACTTGTAAAACTAGTTACTATTGGCTGATTAATTAACACCTTCAGTAAAAGGTCTTTCATTTTGCTCAGGCTAGCCCCACTTAATAGTTTCATCTACCATAGCTAGAATTTCAGCCCTTTACCCTCAAAAGGTGTCTGAAAAAAAGGAAAACGTAATGAAAAAATTCACACAATTCCTCTTTGCAATCAAAAAGTGGCAATTCCCAAAAAATTGCTTCAAATTTCCCAAAATTTAGATCCCAAAAAATCTATGCACGAAATCTATCATAAGTTTTTTGGTTGATTTGATTTTCAATCGATTTCAGTTCCTAAGGTGCACATTGTAAATCAACAAATATAGTCCTAAATTTAATTTAGAATAGATTTAAATCAATGCAAAAGCGTTTTTGTCACAGCGGGTATCAAATTTAATTTTGAAATCTTTGATATCGAATTGTAATTGAAATATTATTTTTCTGGGATAAATTGATTTTGCTTCACCTCATTTTATGATATCAAATCCATTAATAAAATAATTTCTAAAAAATTGAAATTCAATCTTGTCGAAATATTTCAAATCTGCCACTCTCATACGGAGGAGAGGGTGAAGTTTCCAAATTACTACACTACTGATTCAAATTATTTCTACAAATCAATCAAACTAAAAGTGTTGAAGGCTTTTCCCGAACTAAAATTAGAGTATGACAAAAAACTTAAAAAATCACATATGAACCCTGGGAAATTTTACCAAAGAATGTCAATTTTTTGTCAAAAACTTGAAAAAAATATGACACATATGATTACGAGATGTGTTTTTAAGCTGCAGTAAAGAAACGAGCGCCGCTAACGTCGCTCATTTTGAGCTTTGTATTTGCTATACAGGCAATTTTTGTACGATAAAGATTTATTTTGTATAATGTTTGCCTTAAAAAATATGAGCCCGTTTCAGCTACTTTGAAATCTTTTTTCAATTTTCAAAGTTTTCTATTTTTCCAATAGATCAAAAAATTTTAAAAATTGTTTTGGAAACAAACGGATTGTAGTAGTCTTCAAGTTTTTTCCCTATAAAAATGTACCGAATGCGCCTTCGAAAAAAGTTTAATGTCAGTCAGCCAA